CTTTGCATTTCTCATTGATTCTCATGAATATTTAGAAAATTATGCAGTTAAAATAATTAAACGGATCAAGAACAACACGACTCAAAAGGAAATTATAACGAAATTTTCATGAATAATCAAAATTAGTTAGAAATTAAAGAAAATGGAAGAATAAGATACATTATTTAGCTAAAACTAATTGTCAAGAAATGAAAGTATAAAATACTATAAATACAAATACTAATAATTGCACGAAATAATTAAACCGCAAATTCTCATGCTCGAGTAATTTAGCTGTCAAATTATCAAGAAATCAAATTAAACAGTAATAAAAATTTAATAGTAAATTAAACTAAAAAGTAAATGGTTGGCTTTTATCGTTTCTCTGGGCTCCACTGACCATTATGCGGTTAAAAATTTTTGCTTTAAGGCTACATAGGCGAAAGATGTAGGAGCGACGCGCCACTTCATATCTTCATTTTTTTAATGATAATTTTACTCCTATCGGGCAGCAGCCGAATTCTTTATTTCAACACGGTTAAACCATTGTCTATTCGATTATCTAACTTTTATAAGCATGGTTACAGATATTTTTTGAACGAATTTTAAAATGATAAAAGACCTGTTTTATGAAGAAAATTCGTCTGCTAGCTGTATTTATACAAAAATAAAGAAAAAATGAAAAATATAATTCAACAAATTCATTGTTTAGCTGAAAAGCAAGTTAGAATGAAAAGTTGAAAAAAAAAGAACTTAGAAATACTTTAAAGTTCAGTCAAATATACAATCAGCCCTCAGAATTCAGCAGTTTGAACTAAAAAAAGATATTAGAAAATAACTGAGGAAGATATTTTTTGCCTTTTGGATTTTACAACAAAAACTTTTGTAAAAAAATAACAATTCTTAAATAACAAAAAGGTGGTACAACATTCATCTCCTAATGATTTCTATTCAATTTCTATTCATTTTACTTAAATTTATTGAAAACTAACAAATCAATATATGATAAAATTCCAATGACCTTCTCCTTCCTCTTTATTCATACGATACAAATAACTAATTATTTATTTCTCTGATATAAATGATGACTGATAACTGAGCAATCTTACGCTTGTTTATACAATAGCGTATAAAACAATAACATTGATATAGATACTATTGCTTGTAATAACTGCACACATTTTTCAGATTTGCTGCTCTCTCCAGATATATATTTCCCAACTTTATTGAAGTTCGCTTATTATTTAGAAAATAAGGAAAAGAAATGTAACCAAAACCATTGCATGAGACATGAAAGTACAAATGGAATAATCGCCAATTGTGAAGTTGCAGAATTATGCACCACTAATCTTTATTTTTAGCGATATTTGAAAAATAATTTAAAAAATTCAAAATAATCCATCGTTCACCACAATTTTATATTATTGAAGTAATAAACATAATTAAAAGCCTCTTTCGCAGAAATCAAGAAATCTGAAACAGAATTAGAAGCCAAGCAAATCAGAAATCTTCATGCTCTTTGACGAAGAAGAAAAAAAAATTAAAAACATAGATTTTCATTTAATAATATCCAGTTCCATTGTTTTACATAAATTTTTCATGAATTTTTTTCTAAAATATTGGTTGAACAAATCAAAGAATTTAATATATTTGTTTCATTTTGCAAATATTCCATTTTCAACGATATTTGAAAAATAATAAAAAAACTGCAAACTTATTTTTATTTATTTTGCTGAAATAATAATATTAATAATAATAACAATAAATATAATAAATAACGATAAATCTTGCTTTAATGAGCGAGTGAAAACCAACTGAATATTTGTGTTAATAATGATGACGAATAAGAAAGGAAGGAAACAAGAAATATTGCGCTAATGAGCTATTTAAATAGAAAAAAAAATTTATTAGAATTGTTCCAATAAAATTTACCATTATCTCACTAGTGGAAAAATGAATTACTTCAGTTCTTCGATCATCCACCATTCATTTTGTTTTATGTTCATTTTTAGACATGGATGTGCGCGAACTTTATGGATTTCATTTGGTTCTAAAGGAATAATTGTTTGAGAATGTCGAAATATCGAAATATTGCTTATAAATATTGCTTGTCGATTATTATATTTCAGTGAATTTTTCTTTGTTTCGTGGTGTTTTTAGAATCTTACATGAACTTAACAGACAATCCGAAATAGTGAGTTTGTCAATGATATGAGCTGGATTCCTTGGAAATTGAGGCATTATATGAAGTTAAACATAATCAAACAAAGATAAGAAAAATTATAAAGAAATGACAATTGGCAATGAAGATTTGGCACTGACGAGAGATTCATTTTCATTTAATATTTTTAGCGAAGAATTTTTATCTTCGTGGTATTGAATTCATTGAATAAAGGAACTTGGATATATCTAATTACAGAGAAATGTTAACCAGGATCATATTTCCAACAAATTTGTTTTCAACAAAGCGATGAAGGCTTTACGATATCAGAGCAATGCGACTAACCAGAAAAAAAATTTCATAAAATTTAGAAGTTGACGAGCAAAATTCTACATCTATTTTTCGATAAATGCATTGTAATAAGATATATAAATTTTGAAAAATAGAAACGATTTGAAGATATGCGGACTGAATCATTACTAAGTTCCATGAGCCATAAGCCAGTACAGTCGGTTTTCGAAATTGGTTTATATGGAAAATTTACAAACATATAATCTCGTCTCGCAGAGTTACAAGAAAAATGTTGAAGGTTTTTGTTATGACAGAAGTTTAGCGATTTATATATTCTTGTTTCCGTGGCTACCATTATTCAATCAAAAAATTTATTTTCATTGTTCACATCTAAGCTCTTAAATTACTTCGCACCCTAAATTATTTCGGATAATCTTTAGCCAATAGCCTTCTCGATTACCTCCAATTTTTTTTCAGGCCAATAAGAATTCTAATTAAACTTTTTAGAAAAATTCTCTATTTTATTTAAAATGAACGAAATATTATTGTAAAAATGAAAATATTTGCCAGAAAATTTAAATTATTGTTAAATTGTTAAATTCCACCATGCGATTTCCATACCGTTCATCGTTTTCTAATGGCTCACTTTCGCTCAAATTATCATCAATTCATCCCATTTGCATTTAAATTCGTTTTGGTACGAAACATAATTGAAGAATTTTTTCGGCCATCGAAAAATGTATCAATCTTTTATATGGACACCTCTTGTGAAAACTGCTTTGTATTCAAAAATTTTTTTATTATCTTATGAAGCATGTGAGAGAAAAATCGAATGGAAAACATTTTTGCCTTTAAAGTTTCATTAGTATTTTATAAATAATTGGTGAACTTTTTAAAAATTATCTATCTTCTCATCTCATTTTATTGAAAAATTATTGCATGAAAAAAGAAGCAAAAAAATTGCTTGTCGCGAATAATGAATGTATAAATATGAAATTTCAGATGATATAAAACAATGGAAAAACAATATCGAATAATGAACAGCGAATAAGGTCTTTGAAAACGAAAAATGCTTTGTAAGAATTAGCATTTTAAAAGTGGAGCAATCGAAGGAATACTGCAATACCGATTAAAAGAACCAAATAAAAGGGAGTGAACCAATTTTTTTCAAGCTAATAATAATTAATGCTTAAAAAACCATTAACTGCAATCATCTTAGATGAGTGATGAAGGAAATAAGCTGCTAATTTTATAATTTCATTTACGTAATTAATAACCAATAATACAACTTATATATAAAGTGATTGTAGATAGAGCGTCACTAAGGAATAGAGAAGATGTGGGAAGTGAAGGCCGGAGCAGTGGTAGAATCACTTGGGGCTGCGACCGAGTCCTTAAGCTGGAAAAAGGACTCTAGCGGAATCGACGTTTGTCAGAAATCTGAAGAGCACACTGCTAGGAGAAGCTAAGGTGCGTGCAGAATTCTTAAATTCTCATGCTTCCGATAGAGGAGTCGATGATGACCCATACTACCCACGATTTTTTTAAAAAAAACAAATATAGGATGACAAATTAAGCATAAAAACATTAAATATTTTTATCACCAAAATTCAACATTTCAAAGATTTACGATGAAATAGATCGTTCTCATTAATCGATATAGACTGAAGCAAATTTGACAAAATTTATTCATGCAATCATTTTGATTCATTTTCAAACTCTTAAATTAATTAGTACAATTAATTTAACATTAGCGATGAAATTTTAAAAATTCATTGATGAGCTATAATTATTAAATGCTTAAAGTGCAAAAAATGCGAATATTTCAGCTCAGATCTAAATCGCTAATTACTAAAGACCATTTAGCATTTGGAGGATAACATCTTATTCTTTCTATATTTAAGAATATGCCAGCTATTGGAAAAACGCAGGATAGCTGAATGAATGAACTGTGGCTAACTGTGATTCTCATATTGGGAGGAAAATTTCTAAGCGTCTCATAAAAAGTTGCCACTTATTTATTTTCCTACAGTCAATGAAAGAACAGGCAACTATCATTACATTATGTCATCCCTTTGCTAAGTAAAATCGACCATAATAAATTAAAAAATAAATAGTTAGACAAAGACAAAATTAATTGAAGCCTAAATTTTTTATTATTAAATGAATAAACAATTAAAATAAAAATGAAATAAAAAATTTAAAGAAAAAAGGGAAAGAAAAGCATGAAAATTAGATTTTGGTTATATTTGTATTACCTTTTATATTCCGAAATTTAAATGTTAAAATGCAGTGTGATCGACAGCTGAAATTTTAAATTACATCATTATAATGTCATTCTGGAGATGCTTAGCGATCTATCGTGCATCTAAAGTTTGAACGAGAGAATATCTAACTTTCATGGCGAAATCGGATAATCTTCTCGATCTCGAGCGTTGGTTGCATATCAATTTTATAACGATTATTAATATTAAAATGAGAGTCACCTTTACCACAAGCAGGAATACAATAACCTTCGTTTCGTCCCATTCATATTCATCTAAACCAATAAATTAAGTTTGCTCATAAATCACTTTTTCTTAAACTCTTTGCCGATAGACAAATTGCCATTACAGCAGTAAAACAAAAACATCAGTTCAAGAGGATATCGTTCACTTAAACCTAAAGTCAGCGAAAAAGTTCTTTATATTTGCTATTTTGAAAAAACATCAAAAAAAGTGGGATCAATTTTTATCAAATTTCTTTTAGTATTGTTAAAACAAATTAACTTAGAATTAACTGATTGTTTTTTCCTGCGTTCAGATCATATTCTTTTAGCCAATCAGTATAGTATTTAGAGTTTTTTCGCTAGCAAATTTTAAGTTTCCAATTTTTATAGCAAAATTTTCCAAAATTATCGAAATTGCGCAAAAATACCCTGGATACATGTCGGTAATGTATCATTCCAGAGTCCATTATCCTTACATTCAACAATTCTGCTTCCAATTAGGCTGTGATCCTCGAAACATTCAAATGTAACTTTTATTCCTGATTCGAAAACTTTCAATTTGCCATCGGAAATATAATCTCCATGATGAATATAAGGCGTAATGCAATTCACTAAACTTGTCGTAATTACCAAAGTGGAGAAAAGTTATGGTGAATACATAATCAAAACGTTACAATTGTGTAGTAAAAGTTTAACATTAACATTTAGGTGCACATATCGGCCATTTTCGTGGTTGCCAAAAGGAGCCTTCACCTCTTTCTGATTTTTCTGATTTAACACAAGTGAAAAATGTTTCACCAACAAGTCGTAATTTGCTTTCTTTGCAGTATAAACTAACCTAGAAAAAAAGGAAATCAACTAAACTTTACTAAAGAAATATTTTTGCAATCACATTATTGAAATTAAGAAACAACTAATAAATAATTGGATATAACCTGAAATCCAATGGGTAATGGAATGTTGGATGCTGGGCAGCTTGTGTTTCTCGAATCACAGTGTGAACCATTAATTGTATATAATAATGAATCAGGTATTTGTTGCAATGAACAACTCATATTCATAACTTAAAATCGAAATTCATTATTTTATTATATTCATTATTTCCGTTATTTTTATTAAATTTCATTAGAATTACAAATAGGAATATAAATAGGAAATTCTACACTTTGCACTGTATTGTGGTATTCATTAAAGTGCCTATGATTGGTAAATTTTATTTTCTTCTTCATGCAAAAGCGTATTCTATTTTTTCAGTCAAGCACACACCTGTTCCTAGAAAATATAATTTATTTTATGGTTGCAGACGGTGGTAAAAAAGATCAATTTAAGTTTTCATAGATCTTAAAAATAAAAAGGAAAGTAGATATATGAAAATTTATAGAATTTATTGCTTGCAGCGCTAACGATGAATTTTTCGAGATATATTTTCTACCAACTGCAAATTATTTATAAAGTGCAATATATAATGGTATTTGAAACTCGTGAGGAAAGTGGAAGAATGTCAAAAAAATCTTTAAGTTCTATGCGCAGATCTGCGTAAATTAGAGCTGAAAAACGATGCAGCTAATGGCCAAAAGCTTCTTTAATCGAAATTAGTTTTGCTATTCATCGCCCCATATTGCAGTTAAGTGGAAGTAAGACCACCACCCGACCGCTTACTTGGACCAATACTGAAAAGCGGAACATCAAGTGCAAACTGAATTTAAAACGTATCCACTTGGCGAAAACATTTTCTACTGCATACGGTAATGATTGCCATAAAAATGTGAGCGATTTGAGAATTGAATGTATGCAGTGATTTAAAATTAAAGCAGAGAGATCATTTTCTCAAATCTAATCTCAAAGCGAAAATAATTCTAATTTAAACCTTCTAAGCTCACATAGCAACCCGTATGAAATTTATTACGAAATAAATATGGCGAGTATGAAGGAAAAGAAAATAAATGAATTTTTTCATTTAATTAATATGGAGAAATTTAACTGCAACGAGGCATATTGTCGATTATTCGCTCATTTTTTTTCCCGTAAATCCAACCATAAACGCTACAACGTAAAATATGATCATTTTTCGGTATAAGAATACGATTGCTCTTCGCACATCTATAAATAAAATCCTCAGCAATTACGTAATCAAAAAGTCATTAGCACTTGCCACTTCGGGTGAGACTCCGGTTGGTAGGATGAGACAGTTTTGTTAAGGAGTCGAAAGCCACCTGATGATTGAAGTGTAGACAGGCAAAACCCAAACACTAGATAGCTTTTTTAATGTGAGCGAAACACGGGTTAAGCCATGGTACTTGAAATGGCAATCTTAGAAATAATCTGCAATCCACACAGTAATGAAATTGGTACAATATGGTAGTCATCAACAAATGCCCAAATATTCCGTTAAAATTAAATTAATGATTTAATCATTACGATTTCAACTGATAGCAACTTCCAAGTAAAAAAATCTTAAAAAAAGACCTTATCGAAAGAATCTGATTAAACTGATAGAATCTAGCAAATTTTGTTTCGTTGTAGACGATTTCTGTTGGATCAAATGGCGGCGGATGGCAAACAATAAAATTTGGAGCATTATTTATGCATTTTGGTTGAGCAAAAGTTCTCAAAAATTCTAATCCAAATACAATCCATTCACCTACCAACGATTTATCGTCCATTATGCATCGCATAAAGACACTGTTCTACAAAAAAATCTCATAATTCCTTTATACTTTTATAAAAATATTATACAGTCGCCAATTTTTATTGGAAAAAAAAGCCAAACAGAAGAATATAAAAGAAGAGGAAAACAGAGGAATCATTAAATGCTCGGTAACCGGCTCAAAGAAGGAAAGTTATAAACTAAACTAGAGTGCACAGTAAACTGCACTTTTTATTAAAATTTGTCAGAAACGTACTCCAAACATATTTGCTTAAATGGCTGACATAATGCTGCGCGCGAGCTCCTACAATATTTTTTGTGGCCTTCACGACCACTTTGGATAATAAAGTACTTTACTTATCATTTATTTAGTATTAAATGAAATGTATTTTAGTTTTTCGCTGTCTCGAAAATGGCAATTATTAAATCACCTCATCATAATATGTTAATTTAACAGGCGTCGATTTCGCAAATCAATTGCTAATTATGTTAATTCAGTTTCGATCTCGTTATGGCAAATGAAACTTCAAATAAATAAAAAATAAAATTTTTTTCATTTGTATGCAAAAAATTTTGCTGAAAATTCGATGTTTAATTGCAAAAATTGTGTTGCCACTGAAATGAAACGTTTAAACAAGAATAATAATTATATTTTATGTACGAATGGTTCTGTATTATTTTAAAATTGTTCATATTTAGCAAATGTTATGTAACAGACCAGTGGAAGAATCAGACTTTCATTCAGTTTTATATGCATTTGTCCTCCGCAAATTAGTTCAATGACGGTTTCTGTCGCAAACTGAAAACGTTCATTTTAGAGGGACCTTGGGATAACCGTTGAAATAAATTCGAACTTCTGTTTTTTTTCAACTATATAAATCCACTTTGCATTATAATTATAATTATCTAATAGTAACAAAATGTTGTGCTTTAATGCTTTCAAGCCATGATTCTTGCACAAATTAATTAGTTTCTTTTTCCAGATTGCCCAGTCATACGCCCATTATTACTGAATCGAAATGTACATTAACGATAAGACACATTTAAATGTGCATTTCATAAAAAAAACTTTTTACCTGTCCTTTGGAGTTGTTGTCAATAAAAGTATTATGCAAAACAATTCGATCTCCAGCTGAAGCATTCAACTGCGGAGGATCACACCAGTGTCCGCTCGATTCCTTTCCCCAAAGTAATTTCTCGTTGCCGTAGTCGGTTGGATCCTAAAATGAGCGGTGTAATTATTTTACAAATAACTCCAAGCTGGTAGAAATGAAGCTCACTGTTTACTACGTTCATCTTTTCCACATTATTTCATATGATTATAATATAATTATGTAATTTTATTAAGTATAAAAAACAATATGGCCAAGCGGTATGTTGCTTTCACATATAATGAATTCGATTTCTCAGCTCTGGCAAGAATAAACCAAGTAAAAGTAAAATCCGCCGGCAGTGCTGGAGAACCACTTGTGTTTCGCTTCTCTCTAATATTTGAGTCTGCTTAAATGGTTACTATTAAAAGAAAAATATTGAAGATATTAAAGAAAATATTAAAGATTGAAGACAATTGTTGTATATGTAAGATATACTAACCGCATAGTCATAATCATCAAAATAATCATAACTTAATTCTTTCTTACTTAATGAATTATTGCTAGTAAGGAGAATTATTAACAAAGTGATGATGAGCATGGAAGGCAAATTCGAAGAAGCGAAACGTAGGAAAATGACAGTTTTCGGCAAAATTAAGAAAATTAAGGAACGAGTTGTAAAAATTATGAATCTGATTGAATTATGAATTAATTACTAACATAGAAAAACCATTTCTAAAGTAGATTTTTTTTCGATTTGCGACTAAGCAGTAATTTTTTAATTAACGAAAAATTATTTAATTTTCTTTTTTTTTTAAATTTTTATTTTCTTCTTTGAATTAAATCATTAGCATTAGACTGTGACTGTCGACATTATACATAAATTGAAGCGACTATTCTTTTGTTTTTATTGCTGAAAAGGTCCGCTGATGCTGACGACTCACCTATACTTCTATCGCCTTGCACTCAAGGAACTCCCTCGCATATCTGCACAAGCGACAAGCCATCGGAGTGAATATAACCAGTAATTCCAGTGATGATTCTTTAAAAAAAAATTGCTGAGCACGTAGCGTTATGTTCTGCTTAGCATGTATAAATTAATGAATAATGCTTGAATGCTTTGATCATTAGCGAGTGACTGATTTATAGATCGAGAAATCCAAATGAGCGATTGTTTTGCATGTTTCGGCTTATATGAAAATTTATCGACAAAATCGCGACAAGCAAATTTTCTTAAATCATTGAAATTATTTTTAATATCTAATAATATCGAATAACTAATGAATATTTGCAATATACTAAAACATGCAAAAATGAAATTTCATCTTTTTTGGCTTTTTTCCTCAGTAACTAAGCTGTGACCAAAGGCTAACTTTTTTTGGCTTTTTTTTGGATACAAAATTTCTAATGATAAATATATCTTAGTGCAAAAAATCTTAGAATCTTTGCTGCCGTGTTGATATTTGTCACGGAATGTGTCGCGATGTTTTCTATTATTATTTTTCTAATTCATTATTTTAAACTGGTGATCCCGACTCGCCAAATGATGTCTTTTATTAACTTAATAATTCTTTGCCTTCATATATCAATAAAAGATAAAGGTCAATTTACAGTATATATTATATATTCTCAAAGAAATTATTCTTTCCTCATTTTGGTGCCATCCCGAGCGGTTGAGCGCCAATACTTCAATATTCAATACATTGTTATTTGACATCCTCTGTATTTAATTCTTATTTAATTAATTTGTTTTGAGATAGGTATCGTTTAATTACCCAAGTTTGAAATGGCGAATAAAGCTTTATTAATTCGTGCGGTGATCAGTGTTTATTCTACTGTCCTGATAAAGCAGCTGGATCAAAATTATTCTAAAATTTTAACGCATGGCAGGCGAGCAAAACCCCACTGCTTTCAAATATTATTAATCTATTTTACAATATTACTGAAAAAATTTTTATAGTATTCTTGCCTTTTCCAAGTTTGCTGGATATTCTCTTTTACGTTCTTTTTCTGAATCTTGCCATAATCGAATAGTCTAAATAGAATCCAGAGTCAGGATAACCGAAGGGAATCAGGCCAAATTGACAAGGATTTGGCCATTATCCTCGATGAAAGCAAGCCTATCATACAAAATCAGAATAATGCTGATGATTTACATGTAATGATATGCCGCTAATTGACTCCTGGAGGCAAAAATTTCTAATATTACTAACAAACTATTCTGATCATTCTAATCACTAACAACTTACTTTTTATTTACTGCTTAAAATCCCATTCATTCAAATTCATGGAAATTTGTCTACACATTCACGGAAATTTATTTGTTGAGATCATTCAGATTCCATTTCGGATCAAAAAAAATTTTTTTCAGCCTCTGGATGAAGTCCTTAAAGTTAGTGGATTTATTAAAGTGGATTATTTTAATCCAATAAATATTCCCTTAATTTTTGGCAATATTCAATGCACTGAACTAATAAATATTCGAAAAATGTGCGGAAAGTATTTTCCATTAAAGTTGGCTGATTCAATAACTCCAAATTTTCCTTCGTATGCTTCAACGTATGAGAATTCACAGTTACTTGCATCCAAAGCTTATATCTACTATGATAAGAAAAAAGCAACTTTTATCATTTCTTAAACAACAAGGATCACAAGGATAATTCAATCAAACAAGAATTAAAAATATTTTATGGCTATTCAACGCCGTTTTTATATGCTTTCGTTCAAAGTATTTCAAACCAATTTACTTATCAATAATTTTCTTCATAGAAAATGGAAATGGAAAATTTTTTCTTGTGAACAAAGTTATATTAGTTAATAAAGAACGCATTCAATTGTCAATAGGAATTCGTAAAACGAGTTTCTGCATTCGCAAATTCTACATACTGAACAATTTTTTCCCCTACAATTAAATATGCACGGGAAACCCAGAATCACTCCAAATGGATTCACATTTCCCCACCCCAACCCACGCCAAGCTACTCTCTGTCAAAAACTTGCAACACTCACCGCAACCAACATAACCAGAAATGGTGAGGCTTCATTATTACTTAAAAGCCAACCAAAATCACTAAATGTCAGTCGACAGAGATTGTTAACATGCCGATTTTTAGTATATATCAACCTAACCTGGTACTGAAGGTGTTGTGTGGTGGGGTATTAGTAAATTGTGGTGATCGTCATGGGGTGAGTGGGCGAAATGGTTTTTTTCTTGATTTAACCTCGAAACTCGATGAATAGAAAGATTTCCCGTTGATATTCTTGGTTAAATGTTCTGTTTTGTGTAGTTCCAGCATTTTTGGTGAAAGCTAAGGGCTCTTTTAAAAGTCTCATGAAACCTGTAGGTTTCTTCGAGAATCCACGAATTCTTTTGAGACTGTCAGCCTGAAGATTCTAGTGGGAGTATGGGAAAAGCTACGGATTTCTTCGCGAGTTTAGTAGAAACTGCGGATTCCTTTGCGTATTCGAAAGTTACGTGAAAGTTTTGGGCCTTATATTTAAATCTTCGACTTCATATAATTAAAACATTTGTGATCATAAGTGAATAAATAAAAAATTTTTATTCCTATAAAGTTGTTTCTTATTTTTCTGGTATTCTGGTTCTCCGATTTTTTTATTTTTTTACTTTCGCTGGTTGTTTTTTATTATCGTTGATTCTCTGAACATCATGGAGAAAATTGTAAAATCTCATCGCCAAGCTGTTTTCATAATTTTGCTAACCATATTACCTTTCGGAATCGCAATATAGTAAGCTTTTCATGAATGGATAACTCACCGGCTTCATCATCTACAAGTGGTAACAGTAACGATGGTCATCTTATCGAATTACTTGCTACACAAATCGATTCAGATAGTATCGCAACAGTTATAAATTATCAAAAAAATTCGTTAGTTGCTCTTTTTTTATATTCGAGTAAAATGCAAATTACAATCTAAACTCAATATGCTATGAACAAGAATAGTAAATTGGAAAGTAGTTGCAACTTTTTTATTCACCAACGAAATGCTTTATAAGTTGTGAGTTTTTTGGCAATTAAAATAAATCAAATAAAGTTCCGTCTCTGACATTGCTAGATTTACATCATCGATCCATTGCTTTCTGATTTTTCACTTTATTTTTTTTTACACACTGTCGTTTTTATTAATTTTGATTTATTAATTAATATAATCACATATGGTCTTATCGCGCTATCTTTGTAAATGAATAAATAAATAATATTATGTTGTGCTGTGATGTTTAAATAATTTTAGGCTTGCAAGATTTGAAAAAACAAATGAAATGTTATCAAACTGTTGTATACTTTCGGAAAAAAGACTGGAAAAAGCTAAAAAAGAATTCGCCGAAAATCGTGAATTAATTTTGGGTGTAAAAGCAGATTTGGAATCAATCTTCCATCGGATACGACTTTTTAAACAAATTCTTGCAAAAAAATACCCAACAATTTATAATGAAGTCGGTAAGTCATTATTATTATTATTATTATTATTATTATTATTATTATTATTATTATTATTATCATTATTATCATTATTATTGCAATAAATTTATTGCAATTTTTCGATTAAATTAGAATTTTTACATTAAAATTTTCCTTAATTGGCAAATTTTGAAATGATATAAAAATTTAGAAAGTTTGAATAAAAATGAGGAATAAGATTCAATTTTGGAATATGACATGGGCCTTTTATCTTTCATTTTATCTGAGATGAATTGAACTGAATGAAGATACAATATTTGATGAACAAATGTTCAAATGGATTTTCGCACGAAAAATTCTATAAGGTGTATCTGTATATCTCAGGCATATCACCGTAGGTTATGTGGCGATAGACGACAGGTTTATTTATTTTTCGCATTTCATACTTCTTTCATCATGAAAATTCAAGCTTATTTTTGTATAAGTCGTTTATAAGTCCATTGTAATACGATTTTTGTTGAAAATTTTTATTTACTTTTTATTTTATTTTGATGAAAATAAATATAAAGTCTTTTAAATATTCTTTAAATATTGTTGAAGTAATTCTTAATTTGTAAACAATTGTTTATATTTTATCACAGTAGAATGGTAATCAAATTTCATTGTTCATCTGCAGTTTCACTTGTCGACAATTACTTCTTACTCATAAGACTCGATTATTGTAAAGTAAAGTATTTCGATATCTTATAAATTCTGACAAGCAAATGAATATTCAAAAATTTATTTTAACTGCAAAAAATAAATAATTACTTACAAAAAAGTGAACATTTACTTAGTTAAACCACATACGTTAAATTTATTACATGGGAAGTTTGGAAAACTTTTAGTAGAAGATTATTTATTTTTTTGTTTCCTCAAACCAGAAAGTTTTTTTCGTTTTCTATCCTTATCTTTCACTTTTTTATCTTGTTTTTGTTTTTTCTTATGTTTTGACTTTTTCTTCCTTTTTTTGTCCGATTTCTTTTCTAAAACAAAGGTAGTCATAACATTTTTCAAAGGAATTAAATCCAAAATATCAGAAAAGTTTAGTTTTTTATTTTTTTTAGAATAGAATATTTGCTCTTACATTCACATAGATTCCTATAGCATCATACAGCAATCTGAGAACAATGAATTCTTTGACGTTTTTAACTGAATATTCCACGTAAATATTTCCGTTGCTAATGCCAAAACTTTGTATTACCTGGGTTTTTAAGTGGTGTTTCATATTCGGATTCCGAGCTGGTTGAAGATAAATCTAGGAAATTTTTGTCGACCAGCGAGAAATTGTGGCATTGGAAAGCGAGATGACCAACAAATCCACATTTTCGACATGCTCCTGATATAGGTGGTTTCAATGGATCTGGAACAAATCCATGCAAAAAAATGTGAAATTCATTAAAAAATTAACGAATGTACTTTTTATCTACACAGATTCAAAATTTATCATATGAATACGAAGATGTGCACTTTCAATCATATTTACTAGTTAAAAAACATGCCGATAAAATGCGATTGTTGCAAGTTGTCTGACATAACTTCCAAAAAATTGGCTAAGACAATAATTCTATATATTCTGAAAATGATTATTCTGAATGTTCTAAAAATTTCGTAAGTAACTGAAACACCTTGAGACTCGAAAAAAAGAAAAAACTTTATAATGGCTGTAGATTTTAAAAATATTCGGAACTAAAGGAAGAAAATCGAAAAAGTTATTACAATTATAATCGACATGGTCGAGCGTGAAAGCGCCGCCTGGCTAAACTTAAACCAAAAGTTAAATTCAAGTGGTTCGAATAAAAAACCCAGGGAACGCAAACATTCACCAAATTTATAGCAAAATAAACCAAAACCACACGTGTGCCACGACCTCTCAGTTAAAATTAGAGTCGCCACAAAAGCTATTTAACCCAGAGCAGTAAAGAGAAATTTTGAATATTATTCGTTTTAAGACCGAGTAAAATATCTTATAGCTTTATTTTCCTAGTGCAGCTCGTTGGTGCTTTTGGTTTCTGATGAGAAAATTAATTTGCATTAAATGAAAATATGTAAAATTAAACAGAAATAAATTCGGCGGTTTCCTAAGGAAAGGATGGAACTTTTCGTGAAAAATGGGAATTTTATAGTCGACGTAATTCCGCTAATTGCTTTACCTTCCAAATTGCGAAATAAATTTTTATTAAATTTATGAAATTGCAGGAAAATCGATCTAAAATTGCAATATCTTTTATCAGATCTGATTTGATCGCGAATTTAACGAAATAAGTTTTATTTTTGCTTTTTTCCTATTTGTAATATATAATAATAGTAATAATTATGATAACACTAAACAATGAATAATAATGAACATTTATTGTCACGTCTGCGCACAAAACTCGAGTATATATATATAATGATGACCGAGACACAGAACTTTCCTTTGAAACGAACATAGGCCATAAGGTCGTTTATCAGCTTCCACTCACTCAGCGGCCATTTCGCCGCAGAATTATCCGAAATTCCGCAATGATATGGCAGTACCTCCACTTGAGGCCAGCTTTCGCAATTATTCGAGATACGAAGGAAGATGGGCCTCCGACAAGCAGGCGACATCCACATGATATTTAAGAAGACTGCAGACAGTGATCGCTTGGCTTACAGCGTTCTAACTTTCCACGCTATTACGGCTTACACCTCGTCGCGAGCCGTTTCCCTTAATAGGCCTTGAGCAATTACTCTGGCTCGAGATCACAGCTTATTCACAAGCGTTGGGATTGTATTATTATACTCGGATTGCATAATTATCGCATGTATCACTTGGCTAGGAATACCACGCGCATTAAGAGCAGACCTTTTTACCATAGAGTCATTTGGGGATAGAGTTATAGATGCATTTCCAGCAGTCACTCGGATTTTTGAAACAATGAAACTTTTACTACTTTTAAAGGCAAAGAAAAGGAAATTAAAGTAGAAAAAAGAAGATAAAAAGAAAATAAAAAGAAATAAAAGAAAAAATTAGATCAAATTTATTTTTGTATTTTGTTGTTGCTATTTCATATGCAAATTTCAACATAATTTAATTTATAATTTATTTTTAATTTTTTTTGAAATTTGAAAGAATTTAACTTAATTGTTTGTAGAAAATTTTAAAGTCATAGAAGTTATAAAAAAAAAGACATAGCAGAGCGGAACAAAAAAGCGCCCAATAAACAAATTCAAATTTTTTAAACATTTGCAACCACAATAATAATGAAGTTAATAATAATATTATTATAACAATAATAATGATAGAAATAATAAATAATATTAATAATGATACTGATAATGATAATAAGCAATAATAAATATTAATAATAAAATTCGAGAAACAATGCAAATGAGAAAAATATCGAAAAAAATTTTTTTTGTTTGATATTTTTTTGACATTAATCGTCGATTGAATTTTGAATTTCATTTTTAATCTATATTTTATATTTAATAGACTTTTAAAATTCAGTTTTTAGTGTTTTAAGCTTTTCCACTGATTATTATAACTTTTTTTTCACATTTACGAATTAATTTTATAAATTCTTTTATTGGTTGAAATTAAGGCGAAATGGCTCGGATGAGTTGTTGCTTTCAGTGCCAATGCCAAGGTTCTAAGTCCTGTAGGAATAAACTTGCATTTCAGAAATCCGAATAATGTTGGCAACTTTATCTCTATACTCTCTCTGGCAAAATTTCTCTAATCTGATAAGCTAACTGAAGAGTAAACCAGAACGTTCGGCATTCTTAAAACAAAAAATTCCTTGAAAAGAAATATAAAAAAAGAGGTTTCAAATAATTTACTCTAAAATTTAAAATACTTGGATATTTATTTGAATACAAAATGTTTTGTTTAACAATGCATATTACCCAAAATTTTAAATTATAAAATTTATTGTAATAAATGAATATCATTGGCTAATACACAGATTGATTATGGGTGATTTAAGGGAAAACCGTATTTTCCTTAATGGATGTGGAGATGGCTGGCTAAGGCTCTCATTTCCCTAAATTTTAATTTTTTTAAACTGTTGAGTAAAAAATTAACCGTTTCCATCGAGCGCTGATTTCAACAATGGGTATTGCGGAGCCAATTCAAAACTTATTCAAACGTTGAGGAGTCACCTAAAGATATGAAAATAATAGGCTTCCCACTAAATTAAATTTTGATTTAATAATGAACTAAGAAATCTTAAGGAAAACGTTGTTACTGAAGAAGAGAAAGGTAATGAACTCAATGGAAAAGATTTTTCTTGTTGATTTCGACGAGACAATTTTTGTTAAACTGCACACTGCACAACAATCAAGTGCAAGCGAATTACGAAAATGAAGTAAATAACAATAAATTGAAAACTGAAAAAACAAATTTTATACATAAAATTTTAAAAATATGAAAAAAACTAAATGGCAAAAAAACTTTTGTGGATGGAGGAGAAATTCAGCAGAAAATACTCATTGAATATTCTGTAAAAAATTCTTACTGAAATGTAGGAAAAAGCGTTAGAAAAACAAAAAATATCGAAAAAGCTTGACGAAAAAAAATAAGGAAATGAGTTTTTTCTTTATTAATTCATCTTTTTTAAATTCAATTTTTTGCATTTAAAATTAATGTGATATGATAAGCTTATCATATTTTCCATTCATTATCGATTTATTATATTACCATATTTTTAAATAAAATTTTTTTCTTTTTCTTTTTATGGATTTTTTTCATAAATTCTTTTTTTCTTTTTATTTTATTTCTTCTTTGCTAAATTTTTAAATAAAAAATTTTTGCGAGATGAATTTGTTAATTTAATAATTTAAATAATTAAATAATTTTTTTCTAAGAACACTAACTACTGCTGGTTAGTTTCGCTTTGACTTGTCGGACCAAACAAATTTTTGCGAGGAGGCCACTTGATGATAAGAATACCGGTGAATCGCCACATAGCTTTTTGAAAAAGAACATTACTCCTGCCGTGAACCTCAGCATTGGCGCCTTACACCAAGCAACAACCCACTGAGCCATTTATCCTTCCACTCGTTAGATAAAAATATTTTATGCTTTCTATCATTATTATTATCTCTTATCTTGTGAATTTCTGTGGAATGTGTACAAAAAGTAGCACGAGAATCTCGCTCCATCTACATGGAGATTGTAGTGTATAAAAAAATATTACTATTTTACTACTTTTATTTTTAACATATTTCTAAGATTCTTTCAAAAATCATCCGATATACTCGTACACTGTTTTGTATAATTCTTATGTGATTTCAGCAAAATCGAAAGTTGTGGATTCGTGAATGGAACCAGGCTAAATTCAGATAATAAGTAAGCCCAGACAGATGCTTGGCTCGCCATTTTCTTCCTGGCTCGGTTCCTGATTGTTAGCAGGATAAGAAATTATTCCCACAAAGTCATTTGTGATTAAAGTACGAATGGATTCGTAGCATGATCCCAGTTTTTGAATGACAGATTTACGGAAATATCGGAAATAGAACCTTAATAGTCGAGGCGATGACTTGGGCAAGAACCCTATCTTTATTAAAACCGAGTACTAAAAGTATGTCTTTCTTAAAACGTTACCTATAGCAAAAATGGAAACAAATCGAAAATTATTTTTTGAATCTGGTAGAATAATAATAGAAAATAAAAATAAAACAATACACACGAAAAGAGCTTAAAAGAGCTAAAAATAGACACGAACTTCAATAGAACTTTATCGAAAAATTTTTTTAAGCTTTAAAAAAATTTTCCCACATTAATTTTACGATAGAGAGTATTTTTATGCATAGGAAATTGTTTTTACTTATACCAGATGGCAAATGAAAGACAAAAACAATAAAAAAACTGGCTAGAAAATTTTGAAGCCCGATTTTAAAGTTGAAACGTGAGATGAAAATATGGCCCAATTTTATGAATTTTCAAGAACTTATCAATTCTGGCGAATGAAAGGAGTTCGGCGCAATGAAAAAAACTAAGGAACCAATTTGAAACGATTATGTTTTTCATGATGATAGATGTGAAAAAGAGGAATCGGATAAGAAGTATGAAAATTCCTATAACGATAAAAAAAGCGCGAACTTACTTTAGACAAAACCAGTAACTTGAACTTCCCAATCCATATGTATGTCTCTGTTTCTATAAAGATTTTTTATAAAGAAATATTGCATGAAGCTTAAATAATTTGAGAAATTTCAAAAAAAAACTATTGAAAAAATATCCTTGCAAAAAATGCATTATGTTCTTCTATTCTAAGTTTGAATTTGTGAACATGAAAATCTATTTTAAAAAATCTATTCAATCTATTTATCAAATCTAAGCTTTATAAAACAAAGATTCTTATATAAATTTCTGAATATTTTTTTCTTCAATGATGAACCAATAAATCAAAGAGAAACAGTTAAAGTAAGTAAAAAATTGATTGTAGGAGTTCAAGTAAAGAACGATTTGACGGGAACTTTTTGAAGCAACGTGTTGATTGGATGAAAAAGCGATTTGCGTAAAATTTTACGAAAGAAAGCCCAAATATGAACACTGACAGTGTCAATCCGTGGGATTAGATAATTTCTTCTTAAATATTTTTCAGTGTGATTCGACAATTTCTAAGTTTTGTGATTAAATAAATTTGGGTCGAAATTTTTCTTAAGCTTCTCTGATTATGCTTTATCAATTAACGAAATAAATTGTATTTTTTTTGTTGGTTCCAAAAGGATATTGCAAATAATCACGATTTAAGCATTTAATAACGATTCATTTCTTCCATTTCCATTTTTTTGGAAATAATTCCTTATATTTCCGAGTCTAATAAACTAGAACAATATTGCTGGTTAATAAAGCTGAAAAGAAAAATTAATGTTGTCAATACAGTCAAATATAATGATTAAGAAATTGATGGTAGCTTATAACAAATTTGGAAATGCTAAAATCTGCGGTGTATTCAGGAAGTGGGACAATATGAAAAGTAAATTTAACCGTTACATATTTCAGCTCTCAGAAAAATGAATTTGTAAAAGTTTTTGGCCGATAATCTTAGAAGCAATGATTTACACCAGATTATCAATTTTTTTAGAAGTGAAATTTTCCAAATGTTTAATACTAAATTCGAAATTAAGTCGATTGTCATATGGAGGTAAATCGCATAGAAAATGCTTGAGAATCTACTTAGTAATTAGGCTGATTTAAATTTTTCTACACTAATTGGTAATTTCAC